TTGCAAGCCCAGCCGTTGCCAAGTGATGGGCAACAGACCCCACCCCCCTGGCTAGCTAAGAAGAGAAATACCTCCTGTGTGCTAGACCCTGTGCTGAGCATTCAGGATAGATTTTCTCACTATAATCTCATAGGAGCCCTGTGAGGAAGTTGTGTAGTTTCACTTTATAGATGAGGAAACTGAGGCACGCTGGGGGCGTCACAGAAGGGAATCTCTCTGATGGACTCTGGGAAGCCTTCTCCCTACCACAAACTCTCCCCCAAGGATGCCTCAAATGTCACCTTCCCAACTGCCTCATGCTACAAACTAGATTGTGTTCCCCCAAATTCATATGTTGAAGCCCTAACCCCAAGTGTGGTTGTATGTGGAGTATGGAAGTAATTAAGGTTAAATGAGGTTGTGAGGGTAGAGCCCTGATCCAAAAGGGTTAGTGTCCTTGTAGGAAGAGACACCAGAGGTGGAATGCTATCTCTCTCTCTCTCTCTCTCTCTCTCCCACCCCCGCTTCTCCTCCTCCCCCATTCTTCATCATTTGAGGACAGAGACGCAGCTGTTTGCAAGCCAAAAAGTGAGCCCTTATCAAAAACCAAATGGCCGGCCCTTTGATCTCAGACTTCAAGCCTCCAGGACTGCAAGGAATACATTTCTGCTGTTTAAGCTGCCCAGCCTATGGTATTTTGTCACAGCAGCCAGAGCAGACTAAGCCTCCTCCCTCCCTTCTCTGTCCTCTTTTAAACTGTGGCGCCCCTTGATCCATGGTCACGCGTTCCCCAGTCCCTCAGATGCACCTGTTGTTCACTTCACCAGTCCCCTTCCCATGAAGACAGACTCCAAAAAGTTCCCAGGACGGTAGATGTCTGTTTAGAACCCATCTCAGCCCCGATTTTTCTCCGCTGTTTCTCCTTTTTATTTCTCTCCTTGGAAGACACAGACTTAGCAAGGAGTGCTAGGATCCAAAGGGTGTTTCTTAGGTCTAAGGGAAACTGGAAGAGAAATAGTTCTGACACACCTCGGCTGTCGGTGGGTGTCAGCTGTGAATATTTCATGTATGATGGGAATGGAGAGGGAACAGAGCTCCACCTGGCAGCGCAGGTGCCCCGTCCCCACCCACCCCCACCGCTGGAGCCCCCAGCTCCTCACATGCAGTCAAGGGCAGAGGCACTGACGCTCAGACCTCTTCTCTCACCATCAGCCATGTCACCTGGGTGGAGACGTCTCTCAACCTCTCCAGCCCTCAGTTTCCCCACCTGTCAAAGAGAGACAGCAATGGCACTTTCTCCTAGGGTTGCTGTCAGCATTAAATAAGCTATCACCCATCAAGTTCTCAGGGCAGTCTCTGACCCCCAGGAAGAACTAATGTGTGTCCACCACAATGTCCCCTGGAGGAAAGGGCTCGGGGGCAGGGACCTCAGTGCTGTCCACACGCAGAGTCCAGCCCAGAGCTCCCCTCCCTCTCCTCCCTCCAGTACTTACAGGGAATCTCCTATGCATGGGAACAGAGCATGTGCATGGGCTTCACCCAGTCCACTCCTTCCTCTTAACAGCTACGTTCTCCATGTTCCTAGGCGGTTCAATGAGGCTAAGAAACTTAAGTACTTGTCCCAGGTGACACAGCTTGTGATACAGCTTGTGAACTGAGACTCAGTCTCCTACTCATGTTTCTGGTTTCCTGGGATCTTGTAGGTACCCTGTGAATGAGGAGAGATGAATCCTGGAGGTTGTTCAGCGTCAGCTGCCACCATGCCCCATTGAGAGCCATTCTCAGCCCTAATTCAGCGCCGCCTGTGCACCCACTTTCATTCATGCACACCACCTATCATGGTATTCACCGTGAGAAAAACAGAGACCTGGGCTGATTCAGTCCCCACCACCTATCATTGGGGTAAGCCGCTCAGCCCTTTTGAGCCTCCGTCTCTCAAGGGTAAATGGGCTGATCAAACGTACTGACACGTGTAATCCCCTGGCCTTGTACCGATGCACAGGGTAAATCGAGGATTCAAGGGTGAATGCGGATCCCTCTTCCTCAGCTTGAAACACCACACCTGTGAGGTCTGCAGACCTCCTGGGTTCTCCCACACACCCACCAACACTTCCCACAGGTTTTGGCACATAGTAGGTCCTTAATACACCTACTGAAATAGAGATGGAATTTTACTAGTAGGGGCTTAAATTAGTAGGTGCTGAGATAGAGATGGAGTTTAATTAAGAAAGTATTTGTGTGAAGTGTTTCCAAGGTAAATAGCTTTTTGGATTGTGTCTATTCTTGGAAAATAGCACATGTCCCAGAAGGGGCCACCGGGGGGCCTTGTATGGGCACTGGCATGACAGAGCTGAGATTTAGATCTCAGATGCAGACAGAAATACAGACAGTGAGGTGTGGTGGGGCTGGGGTGGGGTGGGAAAAACTGAAGAGAGACAAGACTTGGGGTGGGGCAGGGAGACTGTTGGGGGGTCTATGCCAGGAATACCATGGCCACTGTGACACAAGAGTGGAAGAGGCCAGTACAGACAGGCCTTGGGCTTCAGGGCCTGCTTACAGATTCAAGTCCCCTCCTGAGCTGGGTGGCTCTAGCATCTTCCTTCCTCTGTAAAATGGAGGTACCACAGGTCCCCATCTGTGTGCACATCGTGCACCCGGGACTGGCGTCATTGTGTGTTGACACCCTGCAGCCATCTTATGGGAGGCAGCTCCAGAGTGGGGGCACAGCTCTGCAGCTGGTGTGGATGCCAGCTCTGCTACTCTCCCCACAGGAACTTGGGCCAGTTGGTTAACACCCCTGAGAATTAGCTTTACCATCTGTAAAGCGGGGATCACACCTGCTCTCTAGGATCGTGTGCAGATTCCGTTGGATTCTGCTGGTAAATGCTTGGCACTGAGTAAATGTTGGACAGAGGGCACTGTCCTTCCTGGCTTGACTCAAAAGGTGAGGGAAGAGGCCAAATGCCCCACTGCCTCCCACTGCCTGGGCCCAGCAATTCACCGTGCTTTGGTTCTCTCCCAAGAACCTGGGTGCAGGCCCTGGGGTTCCTCAGTAGGAACTCCTCCAGAAACTCACTGGGAAACACCTTAATCTGCGCTGGCAATGACCAGGGGCTGAGTCAAAGGAGGGGAAACGAACATTTTGGAAGCAGGTGTGTCAGGCGCGGGTCTCATTCATTGAAAGATATTTGAAAGCCTCTTTGTCTAGCCTGGATGTGGCCTTTTCCAGAGATCAAAATGTTTCTCACTTCCCAGTGTTCCTGAGAAATCATGCTTGGCCTTCCATGGAATAAGCCTTTATTGAGCACCTACTGTGTGCCAAGCCCAACGCCCCACACTAAAGAGACAAAAGTGTCCTCTCTATCACTTATTCAGAGCACTTTTCTGAGTGCCTGCATGCACTGAGCACAGTGCAAGAACCAGAGGACACACAGATGAGATGCCCACTACCTGCCCTGAAGGACGCCACAGTTCCAAGTGCAGACAGCAAGAAACACAGCAAGCATGGAAAAAGTCACTCTTGTCTCCCACTGGTTCTCCAGAGCCTTCTTTCATCCTGTGTGTTAATGACGTTTGAGAAGGAGTAAAGTGTTCAGCCACAAGCCATCATGGGGCAATTCCAGACATCCCAGGAAAAGCCATGGAAAATATGGGAAGTGGGGGAGTGGATCCTCTACAAAAATCTTTGAACATCAAACCACATACATGTTAGCTAAGAGCCAGTTCATCCATCCATTCAACAAATATTTGTTGAGTGCCTACTAGGTGATGGGCACAGGATCAAGAGCTTAGCGTACAAGTCTTACTTGTTTTCACTTCATCTCAGACAGAGCAGAAGCTACAGTTCTGGAAATCTATGGGCACATCCCCTGCATCTTGGGCATTGGCTCGTTATGTGGGCACCCAAGAAGCATATTGGAGACCCTTTTAAGAAAGCAACCACTATCCTCTCAGGAGACCTATTGCCATTATTAATTCAAGAACATCTTAGAGAAATCACTTGCAGTCTGGGATGTTGGTTGGTGCAGAAAAATCTCTCTGTCTCATATGCCATGTGGTCATTAAAGCTTTTAGATAAAGCTTTGTCTAAAGCTTTTAGATAAATAAGCCCCAGACCAACTTGGCCTCCATTTCTGTAGCTATGGAAGTGGATTCTGGCCTGAATCACACAGACATGGGTTTCCCTTTGCCACAAGTCAGTCACATGGTTGACCTGTAGCCTCAGTATACAGATGAGAACTAGGGAATTGGCAATGTAAATTATCGAGAAGTACCATGAATTATTCTTTTTTCAGAATTTAAAAAGAAAAGAAAGGCAGGGGGTAGAAATGCCAATCAGTTCAGAGTTTGCAGGTGGCTCCCAGGAATAGCTCCATCAGGGACCTGCCGTGGAGCTGCAGAAGGGAAAGTTGCTGTTAGGAGCTGAGGACACAAGCTCAGGGTAACCATAGTAACTCCCATGTAGGATGTGCCAGCTCCCGCTGCTCCCATAGAAATTACCAGCCAAAATTTGAGGTCCTGATGTGTTGACATGTGAAAGGAAGAGGAAGGGAGTTCCTGAAACAGAGGAGTGAATGTTAGCAGCAACGCATCCATAGAGGTCTGCAGCAACTCAATTCTTGCCTCCTCTGGGGAAATTATTCATCTGAGGGGCATAAGGCAGAGGAAGAGACCAAGGCAAGTTTTAGAACAAGAGCAAGTTTATTAAAAAGTTTTAGAGGCCAGGTGCAGTGGCTCACACCTGTAATCCCAGCACTTTGGGAGGCCAAGGCAGGTGGATCATCTGAGTTCAGGAGTTCGAGACCAGCCTGGCCAACATGGTGAAACCCCATCTGTACTAAAAATACAAAAATTAGCCTGTGTAGTGGTGGGCACCTGTAATCCTAGCTACTCGGGAGGCTGAGGCAGGAGAATCATTTGAACCCAGAAGGTGGAGATTGCCGTGAGCCGCGATTGTGCCATTGCACTCCAGTCTGGGCAACAAGAGTAAAACTCCATCTCAAAAAAAAAAAAAAAAAAGTCTTAGAGCAGGAACAAAACAAAGTACTCTTGGAAGAGGGCCAAGCAGGCTCCTTGAAAGATTCAGGTGCTGTTTAGTCCTTGACTTGGGGTTTTTATACACTGGCATTTTTCCTGGATCCCCATTTCTCCTCCTCCGATTCTTCCCTTGGGGCAGGCTGTCCTCATGAGCAGTGGTCTGCCAGCACTTGGGAGGGGCTGCATGCACAATGCATTTACTGAAGTTGCATGCATGCTCACTTGAAGCGTTTTTCCCTAATCAGTCCAGTGTTCCTAGAGGAAGGTCATCTACCAGTTAAACTCCACCATTTTGCCTCTTAGTGCACATGCTTGAGCCCACTCACCCAACTCCCGAGATCTTGTTGGAAAGATGCTGATCACCAGCTTCCATTGTTTTCAGTTGTTTTTGTTGTTCCCTGGTGCCAGCTGTAACCAACTATTATCTTAGCAAGACAGATTAATAACTGCCTGACCAGCACCTAATGGTTGCCTGACATTCCTCGGTGTCAGAGCAGGGGGTTGAGAAGGCAGTGCTCTCCTGCCCTGCTGTAACGTTTTCCCACTCAAGAGTTCAAGACCCAATTCTTTGGGAAAAGGGATGAAGGTCAGTCTTCTCTAACTGCTTCCTGCTGAGAGAGGGGTGGTGGTGGTTGTTCTGTGGGTCTTGGACTCTTGCTAGCTCTCAGGGCAGGGTGGCTCCATGGGTTGGTGAAAGTGGTATTCAGCCAGGTCCAAGGGAAACAGGGGCAGGATTTGACCTCTGTCATGTCCCTCTGCTGGGCAGTCTAGCTGTCCTCTGTAGAATGGTGACTTGAATATTGAGAGGACGGCGTCCCTCATTGAGGATCATCTGGAGCTTGATGACCTGAAGGCGAGAGGAGACAAATGGAGTTATTAGGTTTATAGGACATGGACCAAAAAGGAGCAAAATTCAAAGACTAATGAGTGGACCCAAAAAAAGAAGAATCCAGGAGCATTATTTCCAGGTTCCTTCCCGATTTTGCCAACTCTGGGAGCCTTGTTCCCGTAAACTGGAGGCTCGATTTAGCAGTTGTCTGATGTTGTCTTGTATGTTTCCCAGTTGATTTACACAAAAGCAACATTTTTCATCTAAGGCTAAACAAATTGTACTGGCCATTAACATCTCTAGTCCTTGATTATTTTGGAGGATTACAGCTGCTAGAGTTGATTTGTTCTTGCAAGATTGTTAAGGTTTTGGCCATGGCCTCAATGTTGTTGATTTCCTTTGAGAGTTGGCTGTAGGTTAAGGAGGCTTTTGTGATTCCAGCAATTCCAGTTCCTGTACTGGCTATGATGCCAATTCCTAGGAGAAAGGGAATTAATTGGATAGCCCTCTTCACCCTGGGCAAGATGGAATGCCAGTGTACTGGTACTGGAAGTGAGAGATTGCCAAGGGCTATGAAGATGTTCAGGGATCCATAGTCTATGGTGCAAATTTCAGTCCAGTTAGTGGGAAGACATTGGTGAACTAATTGGCCACAAAGATAGAAGACGCCTTGAGTTTTAAGACAAGTAGAGATGTTGAAATGAAATAGAAGTCTCGGCCTGGCACAGTGGATCATGCCTGTAATCCCAGCATTTTGGGAGGCCAAGGCAGGTGTATCACAAGGTCAGGAGTTCAAGACCAGCCTGACCAATATGGTGAAACTCTGTCTCTACTAAAAATACAAAAATTTGCTGGGCATGGTGGCACACACCTGTAGTCCCAGCTACTCAGGAGGCTGAAGTAGAAGAATAACTTGAACCTGGGAGGCAGTGGTTGCAGTGAGCCGAGATTCCACCACTGCACTGCAGTCTGGGTGACAGAGTGAGAATCCATCTCAAAAAACAAAAAAACAAACAAAAAAGAAAAGTCTGACTCTTTAGCTAGGGGTCATGGCTAACTCCATATTTTCCTAAGCTTTACTTAGAATTTAATGGCTTTAAAGCAGGCAGATTGTAGAGTTATTAGGAGTTATAGTAGCAGTTTATGACCTTAAAGCCTGTAGTATGCCTAATGACCTTTGAAACGGTACATTTTTTATAAATTCCCTTTCACAAATCTTTTCACAAATTACATGGACTGGCTATGACATGCTTGGACTTTCTGACTTGTTCTAAATATTCCTCTTTTAAAACAACCAGTCATTTTACTTTATGGCAAGAATTTACCATGCAAGATCCTTTCTCATATAAAATCTCTTTTCTTTATAATGTTCCTTACCAAAAATACCTCTTTATCGTTATAACCTTTGAATTAGGCAAAAGTTTCCTTCTGTTAGGAAGTGTGGCTTGCACTACATGTTGCTGTGCAAGTCCTGTGAAGGGGAGCAGATAAGGAGGTTATCTACATACTGTAGAAGTTATCCACCCCCTCCCCCCCTAAGAGATTGCTCAGTTAGATTTCTTGCTAGGGCTTGTCTGAGTAAGTTTGGGTTATTTTTAAACCCCTGAAGTAGGACTGTGCAGGTTAAAGTTATTGGTTAAAGATTTAGGTAGTTTTCCAAGGAGAAATAGGGCTATTAGAGGGAAAGATGAATTTAGAGGTTGGGTAAATATGAAGGAAGCACCCATCTTGGAAAGTATATTTTTGCCCCAAGGGGAGTGAATTTTTTCTTTTAGAGGGAGGGAGTGCAATTTGCCCCCACTATCCCATACGATTTGGAGGAGAGTTGCTCAGAGAAGGAGATTAGCACAGAGTAGGCAGCTCTTGAACCCGGAAGAAAAATGTATAATTTTACTTGATACCTCCAAGAGTTGTCCTTGGCTTTGTCCTGTTGATGACGACGTCTGATTTGGAAGCCAGCTGAGCAGAGAGCTCCTTCAGCTCACAGCATTCAGGGGTTGGGATTCTGTCCCGGGAGCCATTTGGCCCTCAGAGCAGTCCCATTTTCAGTGGATGAGCTTGTGGCAGAGGGGTCAAACTGTGAGGGGCTTTTTCCCATTTATCCCCTTGGACCAGTTTGCCTTCCAGCAGCCTGGCTTCCCATGCCAATGGCAGTTACCTGGGGGAGTGGCCTTAGGGCAGTCTGGAGGGGGCTGGGGGCTTGTAAAGCAGCCAGTATGTGAGCTGCCTCTTGTCCTTGAGTTTCTCCTTTTTCTTAGCCCTGTCCTCCTTGTCCTGATCTTAGTCATAAAAGGCTGAGGAGGCTAATTTGAGGATTTCCTTCATAGGCGCACTGGATTCTAAGACTGACTTTTGTGATTTTTTTTCTCAGTTCATTTTTAGGCCAAACTGTATTACTAAGGAAAACTAGCTTTTTGTTTTAAAGTGTGGGAGATCAAACGTTTCCGAGTTCCTAGGGATGCATCCAAGTAGGGTGTCCTGTGTTATGGAGACACAATTCCTAATCTGCAAAGAGAGAACAGAGGAGAAAAAGGAAAAAGAAGGTGTCCCAACTGTTATCCTTTTCTGAACACGGCATCCCCCATTCATCCTTAGGGTTCCAGAATGAGCCAATCTTACCAGGTACCCTTAACCTTGGGCCCATCTCATCACGATTACCCACTTGAGAACAGAGGAGATACTGGAGTGAACAGGGGACCCCTTATTCATCCTTGGGATTTTGGAAGAATTGGTCTTACCCAGTACCCCAACCTTGCCTTCATCTCTGTTCTAATGATCATCTGTTCTGTGCCTGCAGCCTGGGATCAGTCTTCAACTCTGTCCTATGGGTACTTTTTTTTTTTTTTTTTTTTTTGAGATGGAGTCTTGCTCTGTCACCCAGGCTAGAGTGCAGTGGTGCGATCTTGGCTCACTGCAGCATGATCTTGGCTCATTGCAGCACAATCTCAGCTCACTGTAACCTCCGCCTCCTGGGTTAAAGCAATTCTCCTGCCTCAGCCTCCTGAGTAGCTGGGATTACATGCACCTGCCACTGTGCCCAGCTAATTTTTATATTTTTAGTAGATACGGCGGTTTCCTTTTTTTTTTTTTTTTTTAAGACAGAGTTTCACTCTTGTTGTCCAGACTAGAGTACAATGGTACAATCTTGGCTCACTGCAACCTCTGCCTCCCAGGTTCAAGCAATTCTCCTGCCTCAGCCTGCTGAGTAGCCGGGATTACAGGCATGTGCCACCATGCCCAGCTAATTTTGTATTTTTAGTAGCGATGGGGTTTCTCCATGTTGGTCAGGCTGGTCTCGAACTCCCGACCTCAGGTGATCTGCCCACCTCAGCTTCCCAAAGGGCTGGGATTACAGGCGTGGGCCACCATACCCGGCCTAGAGACAGGGTTTCACCATGTTGGCCAGGCTGATCTTGAACTCCTGACCTCATGATCCACCAACCTCGGCCTCCCAAAGCGCTGGGATTATGGGCATGAGCCACTGTACCTAACCCTTATGGGTACTTTTGTCTCTTGCACCTGTGGCCTTGGGCTGGCCTATATCCTTGTCTCCATGACCTTATAGTGACTCTCACTCAGAGAAACAAAATGATGATCTCTTTTCTCAGATTCCCATTTCCGATGTGCTTTAAGTAGATGAGAAGCCTGCTTTTTTGCCAACTGCCACAAGGAGCTGGACTTTCCTCCCTTTGAATATGACCTTGAAGGTCTTGATGCATATTGACAAGGGCATGGAAGTGATTAGAGAGAGGAAAGAAAATGTGTATTTGGGGTTCCTCATCCTCCCAGGGCAACACGCAGAACAAACGCTTAAGCAGACAGGACAATCCTGCTACATGAGGAAGTGTGAGGAAGTGAGAAGGACACTCATGGAAAGCCTTCACACGCTCGCAAAGACAGTAACCCTTGGATTTCAGAGGGCAACATTTATTTACCCTCTTGACATAAAGAAGGAACTTCTAGAGGACTTGGGGCTTAAGATAAGGGCTTGCAAATGTCAAAGGAGGAATTTTCTCTCCTCCCAAAGGGATGCCAACTCAAAAAGAGCAAGTAAGTGGGATCCTTAAAGGACCCCAGAGTGAGGCCCTATCCAGGCGACAAGCTGTTTCAAAAGCCACCAAAACATCTTGACCCTGGAGTGTAACAGGGATGAAAAGTGTATGGTAATTTATGAGGAGCTGGCAGAGCTGTGGTTGCAATTAGTGTCTGCCCTGGCAATGAGCCAATAGACATTTGCTGGGAGCCCATGTCTTTGCTGCTACACAAATACAGCAAGAGCCGCCAGTGCACAAATAACAGGGAGTGTGTGTTTTGAGGCAGATAAGGAAGTCAGACAGCATGCAAGGTGAAACCAGGGAAGAGGCAAACCTGCCCCTGAGGCAGACAATGCAGAGGGTGCACAAGGCCATTTCAAAACACACACAGAGAAAACAGGAGAACAGGATGTGCAGGTTTTTTGAGAAAGAGCCTATTTTAGTTAAAATAGCAGTGGAAACCCTAGACATTCCATGGTCTCAGGCCTTAGCCCTACCACTCTCATGAGCCTCCTGTCCAGGAGAGCTATTAGTGCCTCAGGTCTGCTTGTTGCAGATGCCAAAGTCCTTCCTACTCCCACAAGCCACCTGTCAGGGTGAGCTGAGAGATCAGCCTGCGGGAACAGAGCCACAGTGACCAAGATGGATTGTTCCGGGGGTTGGTTAGTAAGCAGGAGTGTGAAAGGGGGAAAGAAAACCACACACGGGGGTTAAATATCCCCAGCCGAAGGTGAGACTTGGCGGTATCTTGCCGCTGGGGACATACCTGAGTCACCACACCAAAGTATGTTAGCAGCAGCAAATCCAAATGGTTCTGCAGCAACTTGATTCTTGCCTCTTCAGGAGAAAAAGTTCATCTGAGGGACATAAGGCAGAGTGAGAAACCAAGGCAAATTTTAGAGCAGGAGTGAAAGTTTATTAAAAAGTTTCAGAGCAGGAACGAAAGGAAGTAAACTACACTTGAAAGAAGACCAAGCAGGTGACTTGAGAGATTCAAGTGCCATTTAGTTATTGACCTGGGGTTTTATACATGAGCATGATTCCAGCATCTGCATCTCTCTTCCTCTGATTCTTCCCTTGGAGTGGGCTGTCCTCATGTGCCAGCACTTGGGAGGGGCTTCATGCACGATACTGAAGTCACGTGCATGCTCATTTGAGGTATTTTCCCCTTACTACTTGAGTGTTCCTAGAGGAAGGTCACATACCAGTTTTGTGACCTTCTTTTTTCTGCCGTTTTGCCTCTTAGTGCTCATGCCTGAGCCCACTCGCCCAGCTCCTGAGATCTTATCGGGAAGTTGCTGATCATCAGCTTCAGTTATTTTCTCTCTATTGGGAGACTGCCTTTCCCCGGCACCTGCTGGAACCAATTATTATTTTACAGAGAAAGTTTAACAACTGCCTGACCGTTACCTGACGGTCGCCTGACTTTACTGGGTGTCAGTTGTGGTGGGGGGGGCCTCTCCTGCCCTGCTCATGTCTGCCTGACTCTCTACCCTACTCTCACAAGAAGACAGCTCCAGAAGGCACAAGCCCAGAGGAATCCTGGTTCCTTAAGAACAAACAGTAGCCAAATGAAGGGACAAAGAATGAAGTGGCCCATTCAGGGCAGTGGAAAGTTTTGACTTCAAGAAAGAGAATCTACTCTCCTCCTTCTTCCCTGTCTTCCCAGCTACTGATTTGTAGTTTAAGTGAGACACTGAGAATCGGGCTTTGGTGACACCTACCGTTCCCAAATGCCGCCCAGTGTTCTGTAATTAATTCTCTCTGTGCTGCTGTGACTACTGATGCCTGTAAGGTGCCGAGGAAGATTCCAGAACATTCACCAGTAGAATAACACATACTCACATAGTTTTGGGGCAAGTATTGAGACTTCCATGCAGGGCCAGGATTAGATGAGGCGAGTTAGGTACTAACCTCCTCACAAAATTTAAAGGGTGCCAAAAAACAGCTGTGGTAATGAAGGTAAATACTATTCTAATACAATGTCTTAAAAATTCCAAATTAATGCAAAATAAACCATGCAAAACATCAAAGTTTTAAATTCCATAGTAAGTATTTAGCACCATGCCTGGGACACAGCAAACTAGTAGTTGGCCATGGCGTTTTGGAGCAACAGAGTTTACAGGAGTAAGGCAAGTCTCCTGCCTTCCGAGGGCTCCCTCCCTAGTTGGAAGGATCCAGCACATTGGCCTCCAGAACTCAAGGAAACAAGAGAAGTTTATATCAAGAAAATTAGGAAAAGGAACATTTCTTTGTTAAAATGATTTTTTTAACTCAGCCCTTTGCCCAGCTCTAACCACGTAACAGGTGCTTTCAGTGTTTGCCAAAAGAAAGAATAAAAAGATAGAACAAGGCGGTTCATGGGTGCAGGTCAAAGGATAGTGTCCGGGCACAGTTCTGAGAAGTGCCAGTCGGGAAAGGATGATGCCTGGGCCTTCTCCTACCTCTCTGCAAAGGTCAACTGCTCTACCTGAGCTTTGTGCTATTTTTTTTCCCTTTTATTTAGGATTCTAAAAATATACGTAAAAGTAGAAAGAAACATACAGTAACGCCTCCCATGTATCCATCATATTTATCAATCATTATTGACATTTTGCTAATCTTATCCATTCTGCCTCTTCCCTGTTTAACTTTTCCTGAAATATTTTAAAGCCAATCCCAGATGTCCTGTCATTTCACCCACAAATACTTCAGTTTGTATCTCTGACAGAGAGAGCTTTTGAAAATGCATAGCTGCAAAATAGTTATCACATATAACAAAATTACAAGTGATTCATTAACGTCTGCTAATGTCTGCCAGAGTCCACATTTCTCCAACTGTCTCAAAGTGTTTTTTACAAACAACTGTTCAAATCATGATCCACAACATGTGACCTATGCTTTGCATTTGGCTGAAGTATGTCTTAAATATTTTAAAAATCTATAATAGTCCCTCGCCCCTTTTTACCTCTGGAGGACAACCTGGCTATTTGCCCTGTAGAATTCCCTACATGGTGGATGTGATCGAGCACATCCTTATTGTGTCCTTTACTGGGTTCCTCTAACCTTTTAATTTCCTGTAAGTGAAAATTAGGTCTACTGGCTTGATTAGATTTGCATTGAGTGATCTGGGCAAAAGAAAAAAGCTCATAGCTGGTACTGGGTATGTCCTATTGCATCAGCCCGGGAGTACATAACGACTGTTGTCCCACAGTTTGTGAGTCAGAGTCACTCCACATAAGGACTCCCTTTAGCATTTCATCATCCACTGGAACTTTCAGCATCCAGCCATATTTTTTAGCTCATTCATAAAAGATAGAAAAATTCCGGCTTTCATTTAAGACAGGATTCCTCTGAGCTCTGTTTAGTGCTCTGACCTCTAGTTCCTCTTCTTGTCTCACATTATGTCTAAGGTTAGAAATGGATGGCTCACACTCCAAATGCAGTCTGGTGATGTGTCTGCTGCCAAAGATGTATGACTTGAGAGATGCCATTAATGTTTGACTTACCAGCCCCCCTTGTTGCTTATTATCTCTATGACGGTTAGAGTTGGCAACCCCTCGTTTTATCCTCTCTCGGTACAAATCAATCATTCCATAACTTAGGTAGGTGTTTGGGGGGTGTTAACTTAATCGTATTCTCTCCCAAAGTGTATATTGAAACTGATAATGCCCCAGGGCTCCAAAAATGTGGTCTGTATTAGGTCGAGGCTAGGATCCGCTTCGTCAAACACGTCATGAATGGGGTCAAGATGTAAACATTTAGTGGAGGGCCCTAGTCTAACTCCAATTCTTTGCGTTGTCTTTAGAGACAAGCGGTGTCTCGCTGCTGTCCTGCAGGACTAGAGTGCAGCTGGAGGGAGATCAACTAGGCGTCACTGTTAGCTTTATGCATTTATGCCAACGAGGTTTGCCAAATTTTTTTGTGTGAATATCAGACCTTTCGGTGGATGACCTGTTGAGCAGTGTAGGATATAATAATCTCCCACAGAGGCTTGTAGCGCTCCCAATAATGGGGATTAAGACTCCTGGTTCAAGTCGATCCTCCCACCTTGGGATTCCCGGAGTAGCTGGGAGGAAAAGCATGGCGTAATTTTGTTTTTATTTTTCTTTCTTGGTAGAGAGATGTTCTCGCTCTTTTGTTGCCCAGGGACTTGACTGAAATGTCATTATTAAGGAAGAAGAGATTAGGGGCACGCAAGAGTGCCACCGGGACACGCGTGCACATGAGGAAACAACTATGTGAAAAGCAGCAAGACGGGTGGCCGTGCGTGGCAATGCCGAACGAGAGGAGGCCCTCAGAGGAACCAAACCGTGTGGACACCTTGG